AAACAATGCATATCATTTGTTTCTTCTTAGAATTAATCTCATTATAATATGATTTATGTTTTTGTATCATATATTCTGCCTCAGGAATAAGAGAGGATATGATTCACTCTTTATAAAAACCTGTGAACAAATAATATACTAATAGTATCAAAGTATTATCTAAAATTAGTGTTGGTGTGTGAGGTGTGTGTGTGTGTTTGTGTTCATACATCTATTTAGGTATGTGCCTGTATGTGCCAGAAATTGATTTTATGTGTTTTCATTCAACAGTTATTATTTTTTCAGACATGCTCTCACTGAAATCAGTTATTTGGTCATTGAGTTCTAGGGACCTGCCTGTCTCTGCTCCTCTCCCCACCCCTAATGCTAAGGTTACAGACACACACTGAACTCGGGTTTCCATGATAATGTTGTGGGTACTTGATTTGATATTTTTGGTGTTTTTAAAATAGCTTCTTGAGTTTGAAGTCTGAACAGTGCCTAGAACAAAAGAAGTATACATGCCTTAATCTATTAAAATTACAAACGAGAGGACACATGTTGACAAAGATTTGGGGACAGATCATATATCACAGATCTCTCGATGCAGAGAGGAAGTATAAAGTGGCTCGGGTCAATTATTTCATTTCTTCTATGAAGTGAAGGAAGGCCAGTGTTGCTGGCAAGTCTTCGGTACTTGGTGCAGACACAGACTGCCAGTGCCAAGGGAAGTACACACCTCCTGCCCTTACCTGTTGTTATTTTGCCGAATCATGCATTCTGAAGGATCATTTTCTACCATTTTAAAATGCTCCCTTTCTATTGCAATCACCAGTGAAAATGAATGGTATGTCTTGTCATTTTTTAAATGTAAGAAAAGCAGTTTCATTAAGTGCAACAAAGTAATATTTACCAAAAACTGCTGAGAGTGGTCCTATTTCCCACTCATTGGCAACAACTCAGCTTTCTTGCTGAAAGCCACAGAGTCATGTTTGTGACTTTTAAATGAGTTGAATTTATATTGAAATGGATTACTTTGATAATAGTTATTATTATTCACAAGATAAAAATATCACAAAATTTGACTGAGCCTCTTCAGCTCCTGCTGCAGGGGATTCTTTGTTCCACACATCCCTGCCCACCCCATTCCCCCAAGCCTGGCCTATTGTCTGCTAGGTCCTTGGCCCAGGAACAGTTCCTGCTCTTGCACTGAGGCTACCCACCCAGAGGGGTGAGTGTACACCCGTCGGTCTGGAGGGGAGTGCAGGACACATCCAGCTCCTGCTGCAGGGGCTTCTTGGCTCCACACAACTCCCCTCCCCACCAAGTTCGGACTTTTGTCTGTGGGGCCCTTCTACTTCCAAGAGTCCTGTCCCTGTGCTGAGGACAACCTTTCAGACCAGTGAGTGGGTGCCATCCCCGGGCAGGGTGGAACATCCAGGAAAGGAGCACTAGGTGGGTTTTTTGGTTCCACACATCCTTGCCTACCACCCCCAAGCCTGCCCTATTGGTTGCAAGGTCCTTGGCTCAGGAACAGTGCCTACCCCTGCACTGAGGCTATCTATCCAAAGGGGAACAGTTCCTGATCCTGCACTGAGGAGAACTACCCAGAGTCAGTCACAGCAAAGATTGGACCAAGACACCAAGACTCTCCTGGCTGAATTTGAAGGAAGAGATGGGCAGGTGTCAATGCAAGAATTCCTCCAACAAACTGAAAGGCAACATGACAACACCAAATTCCAGGGATCACGCAACAAGAAGACGTGAACACCCTATTCTAGCAGAAGTAAAAGAAATCGACTTTAAATGTAACATTATGAAAATGATAGAGGACCTTAAACAGGATGTGAAAAACTGCTGTAAAGACGTGGATAAGACAAATAAAAGGGTAGAAGAAATGAATAAATCTCTCAAAGATACCCAAGAAAACCATGATAAAGCAATCAAACAGGTAATGGAAACAGTTCAAGACTTGAAAAATGAAATGGAAGTAATGAAGAAAACACAAACTGAGGGCTGGCTGGATATAGAAAATCTGGGTAATTGATCAAGCACTACAGAGACCAGTATAGCCAGCAGAATACAAGAGATAGAAGAAAGAATCTCAGACACTGAAGATACTATAGAGGAAATAAACTTACTGATCAAAGAAAATAGCAGATCCAACAAACTTAACACAAACCATCCAGGAAATCTGGAACACCGTGAAAAAAGACCAAATCTAAGAATAATAGGGATAGAAGAAGGAGAAGAATTCCAGCTCAAAAACGAAGAAAATATATTCAACAAAATTATAAAAGGAAACTTTCCCAACCTAAAGAAGAACATTCTTATGAAGGTACAAGAAGCATACAGAACATCAAATAGACTGGATCAAAAAAAATCCCATCGCCATATAATAATCAAAACATACAGAATAAAGAGCGAATATTAAGAGCTGCAAGTGAAAATGGTCAAGTAACATATAAAATGAAACATATCAGAATTACACCTGACTTCTCAAAATGGAAACCATGAAAGCCAGAAGGTCTTGGATAGATGTGCTACAGACACTAAGAGATCATGGATGCAAGTCCAGACTACTATATCCAGCCAAGCTCACATTCACCATCGATGGAGAAAACAAGATATTCCAAGACAAAAACAGATTTAAACAATACTTAGCCACAAACCCAGCCTTACAGAAAATACTATAAAGGAAAACCACAAATCAAGGAAGCCAACAACACCCATAAAAACACAAGCATCTGACAACCCTCCACATGCACAATTTAAAGAAGGAAAACACACAAACACTACCACCAGGAAAAATAACCAGAGTTAGCAACCACTGGTCATTAATATCACTTAATATCAATGAACCCAATTCACCTATAAAAGGCACAGGTTAAGAGAATGGATACAAAAACAGGATCCAACATTCTGCTGTTTACAAGAAACACACCTCAAAATCAAAGACAGACACTACCTCAGAGTAAAGGGTTGGGGAAAGGCTTTCCAATTAAATGGTCCAAAGAAACAAGTGGGTGTGGCTATACTACTATCTAACAAAATTGACATCAAAGTAAAATCAATCAGTAGAGATGGAGAAGGACACTTTATTCTCATAACAGGAACAATTCATCAGGAGGAAGTCTCAATCCTGAATATCTATGGCCTTAATATAGAAACACCCACTTATGTAAAAGAAACATTACTAGAACTCAATGCATACATCAAACCACACACTCTATTAGTAGGAGATTTCAAAACTTCCCTCTCACCAATGGACAGGTCAATCAGACAGAAACTTAACAAAGAAATAAGAGATCTAACTGATGTAATGAACCAAATGGACTTAACAGATATCTGTAGAACATCCCACCCAAACAGAAAAGAATATGCCTTCTTCCCATCATCTCATGGAACCTTCTCAAAAAATGATCACATAATTGGTAACAAAGTAAACACTCATAGATACAAAGAAATTGTAGTAACCACCTGTGTACTATCAGATCACCATGGAATAAAATTAGAATTCAACAACAATTCTACCCCCAGAAAGTCTACAAACTCATGGAAACTAAGCAGTCAACTACTGAACCACCCCGGGTCAAGAAAGAAATAAAGAAAGAAATTAAATTCTTTCTTGAATTTAAGGAAAATAAAGACACAAACCTATGGGACACAATGAAAGCAGTGCTGAGAGGAAAGTTCATAGTACTAAAGGCACACATAAAGAAAACGGAGAAAGCACACATTAGAGACTTAACAGCACACCTGAAAACTATAGAAAAAAAGAAGCAGACTCACCCAGGAGGAGTAGAATACTGCAAATAATCAAACTGAGGGTTCAAATCAACAAAATATGTGAGGCCCTGTCCTCCCTGTTCCTTGAGGCCAAAACACAGGATGCAAGTAATGTTTATGCTAACCAGCTAAGCTTCCTGCTAAGTTCCGTGCTTGCTTCTGCTACAGCCTGGTACAATAGCCTGAGGGGTCTATTTTACTTTAAAATGGTAATTTCTCAACCTGCCTGAAAGAAGCTCAGGCGCCAAGGCCCATCTACCCTGTCTGGCACTGCCTTGCACGCTCGACAACCTGCCTGAGGAGAAGCTCTCAAAGGCGCCAGTTTCCCCAGCCCCCTTTGGGTGGGAGGAGTTTTTTCTTTACTGGGGCCAAAAGTATTTAACCCTGGATTAAGTTGAATAAATTGGGCATTCTCTTCTTGAGGATGACTCGAACTCTGTATCTGTGTGTGTGTCTTGTGTTTTAACCCCTAGGACAATATGGAACTCTTAGGAGGTGGGTGACGTGGAACGGCGACCCCCACAGATGGAGGCACCGCTGGGAGGCGAAGAAGCAGCCATTAGTTTCTGGAAAGGTAAAAAACCTATGGGGTCATCCTGAGGAAAAAGACTGGCCAGCTATGTAAAGGTAAGGGTGAATTGGGATTTTGAAAATGCAAGTATATCTGTTCTTGTTCAGAACTGGGAGGCCTATTAAGGTCAATTGACAGTGCTTTTGGAGAAGTACCAATATTTTAATGTAGACGCACCACGTGAGAGTTCATTAAGACAGTTTGCTTTTTGAGGTGATTTTTTTTTGCCGAATTTTTATGAGAGAGCTCAGTCCCTGGCTCTCACATGCAGGGAACTTTAACTTTTACTAAAGAGAACAGGCTGGACGCAGCCAGCGCCCAGCGGGAATCTGTTCCCAAGGCAACAGGGCCCAGTGTAGCTGGCAACTAGCAAATAAAGTAGCCGAGGGCCCATGAAAGTGTGGGCCTCGGGCTGAGAAAAGATTCAAAAAATATATTAGTAGCTTCTATTAAGAGTTTTTGAGAAACAAAAAAAAAAAACCCCAGTTTCACAGAGCCTGTCTTTCAGGGAGACTAGAAAGCTCCCATGCATATTTGAATGCTGGTCACAAAACCGTGCATGGGCCCTCACAGCGGCTGAGACAGCCTCGGTGCTGCAAGGTGCACTTAAAAACAGAGAGACAGGCTGCCAGATGGTGCGGGGAGGAGCACAGGCAGTCACGGGACCCTGCCAAATGAGCGGCGGGCCGTGACAGACAGGCCCGGGTACAAACTCGTCCAGGAGCCGCTGGCCATGCTGCCCAGACAAGGAGTGCCCCCGGAGGCCAACAGACCATACTGGAATGTACAGGGTCCATACATGGGCCGGACTCCAGGTGGCCGTAAAAGGCGGCGCCTGGGTGGACAGATAAAAAAGAGAGTTCTAGGCAGCCAAAAAAAGCGGCGCTGCCTGACTGGGGGTGACCCTGGCAGCGGCTGACTGCAACACAGACGTGGCGGGAGTGCTAGGCACCTGGCAGAGTTCGGCGTCTCCTGGGCGGGGGCTATGGGAGGAAGGCGCAGGGCAACACAGGGCGCGGTGCCGGTTGTGGTGGCACACGCCGATAGGATTTGCTAAAGGAGACAAAAGAGCCATAGAGAGAGAGAGAGAGAGAGTTACAAACAGGACCAAGTGAACTGCCGGGTGGCACAAAAAGAAACGCTAGGTGCACGCCCCAAGACAAGGGCAGAGAGACATGGGTGCGCAGCCCACAAGGAGCCACAATAACCAGGCCTTGGCTGTACAAAAGGATAGTTAAAAATCCGCCCATGGGAGCTCAGGTGGCAGTTTGCAGATGGAGCAGAGCGGGCCTGTGTCCCGCCTCCCGCTGTGCAGCACAACCTTGGCAGTTTAAAGTTAGACATTGTAATAGATTCAAAGGTTCCTTAATTATACAGACCCAATAGAGACATAACTAAATCTTGGGATGGTTTGTTGCCTGATTTTCTAAGATTTCAACATACTAGGATCCAAAGAGGCTGTGCCAGTTTGCATTTCCTCCAGTGGTGGAGGAGTTTCTCTTAAGTATAAGTTATGAGCAATATTTGATCTTGGTCATGTCGTAGGAATAAGATGGAGTCTCAAGAGTTACTTTGATTCACATTTCTCCAATGATTAAAGATGTTATATTTGAGGATTTTTTAAATGTCTTTCAGTCATTTTTAAGTTTATCTATTGAGAGTTTTCAGTTTAGGTTTATTGCATATATTTTTATTTAATTATTCTCTGGAGGACTATTTTCTGGAGTCCTTATATTTTTTATATGTCTTGTTGACTGTTCTATGCTATACAGAAGCTTCTCAGTTCTAAAGATCCTATTAATTATTTCTCTATATGTTGATGGGAGGCTATTTGGCCCCATAAAAATGACAATTTTAATAATTCTATCCAGTTGTATGAATGCTCACGTACTGGATCAGATAATTATTTTCTGCCCCTGAAAAAGTTCCAGGCAGAGCTGATTCTAGGGGATGTTTTGGGGCTGGCCATTCAGCCCAATTCAAAGACCTGCTGCAGTGGCGCAGGCCAATAGGATTTGCTCCTTGAAACAGAGACCTACAGGTTTCTAAGTTTAAGACCAACCAGCATCAATGCTGGCTGAACTACGTTTTGTTCTGAGTATTTTGTTACTCCCAATATACAATGTGGTCCAGTTCATGCATTAGTTTGGGGAAGGAGTTTCTTTATGTCTCTTCCAGAAACGCTGACATCCATTTGGGTACTGCTGCTATGCTGGCTGTGAATTCATCTGTCCAGAGACCTGAGGACAAAGCCTCTGCTATGGAGCTGTCTAACATGTCTACTGTGGAGCTGGCGGATTCCTGAAAATCTATCCAACACCTGGATCCACCTCCCCCAGATCCTACCATTGATCTATCAGTCATTGCTGTACCATTATTGCTGTACATTCTGTACTACTGGGTTTTCCCTCATCCTGTCAGCTGTTTCTGCTGAACACTATGGGTATCTTCAAGGCAGGGTGCAAAATGCCATGGTCATTCAAATTTAAAATTGGATACTAAGGTTAATCTTTACAGATTGGATATGGTTTTTGACCTTTGCTGGTCACAGAAAAGATTTTTGCTGCTTTTTCTTGAACCCTGGAATACAAAATTTACTAATTGGCTGTCATTTATTCTAGTTAGCTTTCCAGGGACCTTACACCAGTACTATTTGAGACCTTACTTAAAGGGGCTCTATTCTGAGCAGACTTTTCAGGATTGTGCCAAAGCACAATCTCATTTGGGAATGCTTGTATATGCTGGAGCATGACCTTCATGATCTCATGAAGCCAGAGTCAGGACTAATCAGTTCAAGTCCTTTTGGCATTCACCTCAAAATATTTTTCAGCATAAATCTGGCTGGACTCAATGCATGAATAGTGAGTCAATGATGGGTTTATTGCACGGGGGGGCGGTCTCGCCTAAGACATTGGGGTGTGTTTCAACCTGAACACATTCCCGTAGATGGGTTTTGAGATCTAGACCAACTACCGGCATGCCTAAGACAGGTGCTAGTCATCATATTTTATATAAAAGGGGGACATGTGAGACCCTGTCCTCCCTGTTCCTTGAGGCCAAAACACAGGATGCAAGTAATGTTTATGCTAACCAGCTAAGCTTCCTGCTACGTTCCGTGCTTGCTTCTGCTACAGCCTGGTACAATAGCCTGAGGGGTCTATTTTACTTTAAAATGGTAATTTCTTAACCTGCCTGAAAGAAGCTCAGGCGCCAAGGCCCATCTACCCTGTCTGGCACTGCCTTGCATGCTCGACCACCTGCCTGAGGAGAAGCTCTCAAAGGCGCCAGTTTCCCCAGCCCCCTCTGGGTGGGAGGAGTTTTTCTTTACTGGGGCTGAAAGTATTTAACCCTGGATTAAGTTGAATAAATTGGGCATTCTCTTCTTGAGGACAACTCAAACTCTGTATCTGTGTGTGTGTGTTGTGTTTTAACCCCTAGGACAATATGGAACTCTTGGGAGGTGGGTGGCATGGAACGGCGACCCCCACAAAAATAGAAACACAGAAAACAATCCAAAGAATCAATGAAACAAAAAGCTGTTTCTTGGAGAAAATCAACAAGATTTACAAACCCCTATCCAAATTAATCAAGCGGCAGAGAGAGAACACACAAATTAATAAGATCAGAAATGAAAAGGGGGAAATAACCACTGACACAGAGGAAATTTAGAGAATCATTAAATCTTACTACAAAAGCCTATATGCCACAAAATTGGAAAATGTAAAAGAAATGTACATTTTTTATTAGATAAATACCATATACCAAAGTTAATTCAAGACCAGGTGAACAATTTAAATAGACCTGTAAGTCGTGAAGAATTATAAGCTGTTATCAAAAACCTGCCTACCAAAAAAAAGCCCAGGACCAGATGGTTTCAATATAGAATTCTACCAGAACTTCCAAGAAGAGCAGATACCTATACTCCTTAATGTGTTTCACATAATAGAATCAGAAGAGTCATTACCAAACTCCTTTTATGAAGCTACAGTTACCCTGATACCAAAACCACACAAAGACTCAACCAAGAAAGAGAATTACAGACCAATCTCACTCATGAACATCGATGCAAAAATTCTCAATAAAACACTCCAAACTGGATCCAAAAACACGTTAGGAAAATTATCCATCATGATCAAGTAAGCTTCATCCCAGAGAGGCAGGGCTGGTTCACCATATGCAAATCATTCAATGTAATCCATCATATAAATAAACTGAAAGAAAAAAACATATATGGCAATTTCATTAGATGCTGAAAAAGCATTTGACAAAATTCAACACCCCTTTATGATAAAGGTCTTGGAGAGATTAGAGATACAACAGTCATACCTAAATATTATAAAAGCTATATACAGCAAGTCAACAACTAACATCAAAGTAAATGGAGAGAAACTCAAAGCCATTCCACTAAAATCAGGAACACGACAAGGCTGTCCACTCTCTCCATATCTCTTCAATATAGTGCTTGAATAGTGCTGGCAATAGCAATAAGGCAACATAAGGAGATGAAGGGGATTAAAATTGGAAAGGAAGATGTTAAACTTTCATTATTTGCAGATGATATGATAGTGTACATAAGCAATCCCAAAAACTCTACCAAAGAACTCCTACAGCGGATAAACACCTTTAGTAATATGGCAGATACAAGATCAACTCCAAAAAATCAGTTGCCCTCCTTTACACAAAGGATAAAGTAGAAGAGAAGGAAATCAGAGAAGTATCACCCACCTTTCACCATAGCCACAAATAACATAAAGTATCTTGGGGTAACTCTAACCAAGGAAGCAAAACATCTCTTTGACAAGAACTATAAGTCTTTGAAGAAAGTAATTGAAGAGAATACCAGAATATGGAAGGATCTCCCTTGCTCTTGGATTGTGATGATTAACGTAGTAAAAATGGCAATTCTACCAAAAGCAATCTATAAATTTAATGCAATCTCCAACATAATCCCAACAAAATTCTTCACAGACCTTGAGAGAACAATAATCATCTTCATATGGAAAAACAAAAAACCAAGGATAGCCAAAACAATCCTATACAATAAAAGTACTTCCGGAGGCATTACCATTCCTGACTTCAAACTCTATTACAGAGCTACAGTAATGAAAACAGCTTGGTATTGGCATAAAAACAGAGATGTTGACCAATGAAATCGAATCAAAGTCTCAGATATTAACCCACAAACCTATGAACTTCTTGTTTTTGATAAAGGAGCCAAAATTATACAATGGAGGAAAGAAAGCATCTTTAATAAATGTTGCTGGCATAACTGTATTTCAATCTGTAGAAGAATGAAAATAGATATTTCACTAGCCAGTCATCTCTGGACTGTTTATTGGAAACACACTCTTTTCCCCTTTGAATGGATTTTTAGTCTTTGCGGAAACTGACTTTGTGCTGAGGAAACAAGTTTATTTCTGGACTGTATTGAAAGCGAATGTCCTATGGGTCTAATCTTGGGTTAAAGACAAGAAAACTTGAATGTAGCAGCTACTTGACACCATATTTTTTTCTAGTTTCAATTCCATTAGGTTTTTTCTCTTTTACCATGAATAAATGAATAAAAATATAATAGATAGTGAATTGTAAACCCCTAATCATTGTTCAAGGCTTTGTAATGGCTATTCTAATTATACAGAAGTTCACTGAGATGTACAGAGTTTGCGAGAAAACATGTTATCAGAATGGCTTCTTGAAAGCAGCTATGTGATGTCCTTATTTGTGAGTTAGAGAAATTTTACTTAAAAATAAATAATTAAAATAATGGTGTTGCTACTGTTGATATGGTCAAAGTAAATAACATACTTGAAAGAATTTATTGTATATAATTTGACA